AAGAACAGCACGATTTAAAATATTTAACTGCTACCACGGTCAGCAGAAGGGCCTACAAATTAAAAAAGCTAAAAATGTTGTCTACTTTCCAGAGCTTTAGCGCAGAAAGTATTTCCAGAAAGCTTTAGATTTGGAACAGCTGGTGCTTCTTATCAGATCGAAGGCGGATACAATGAGGGCGGTAGAGGTCCCAGTATATGGGATACTTTTTCTCATATTCCAGGTAATGCCTTATGAGTGTAAATGTACTTTGCGGTACAGTGCTGCAACAGCAACCTCTTTTTGAATGTTCAATATTATATCTTTTTTGTATTTTCTAATTTTAATCTCTTGAATTGCCTGAAAGTTCGTCGACGCAAAAAACATTCTGAGCTTCTGTAGTCATTTAAAGAAAGGTCGGGCAGTTCAGTGAGTATGTGTAAAAACATATTCAATTGATGCCTAACATCAACATCAAAGACGATCAAACTCAAGAAATCCGAATATAAACTTAAGTTGACTTCTAGGCTATAAAAACAAATAATTTATTATTTTTTCTCATTTGATCTTTAACTTAATTAAGCGTTAGTATTATTTTAGGAAATATTCAAAATGACTCTAACGGAGACATTGCCTCTGACTCCTACCACAAGTACAAGGAAGATGTGGCTATTTTGAAAGACCTGGGAGTCCAAATCTATCGTTTTTCCATTTCCTGGTCGAGAATCTTTACAGATGGAACCCCAAATACATACAACCAAGCTGGAGTTGATTATTACCTCAGCCTCATTGATGTGAGTGCGCAAAAATTACTTATTTGAACTGAGATAACATTTCGTTTAAAGGAATTGCGCGCCAACAATATCGAACCAGTAGTGACTCTCTACCACTGGGACTTGCCACAGCACCTGGAAGATTTAGGAGGGTGGCTCAACCCCCAGATTGCTGATTATTTTGGAGATTATGCCAGAGTTGTTTATAAGAATCTTGGACCTTTTGTCAAATACTGGGTGACAATTAATGAACCTGGAACAACATGCACATTGGGATATGGACAAGTATAACTACTGCTGTTGTTACTAATCAAATTACTCAATCTATATCAAGCCACCTCTATATTTAGGGTGTTCACGCTCCAGGCAAAAGTTTGATCGGAGATGGCATCTATACATGTGCCTACAACAACCTTAGAGCGCACGCCAAAGCCTACAGAATTTACGATGAAGAATTTAAAGCTGAACAAGGAGGTGAACTCTAGTTTGCGTTACGAGACAACTTCATGTAATTTGGTATGTTTTATAGGAAAAGTGACGATTAACAGTGCGGTTTCCAACTTCTACCCAAAAGATAGCGAAAGTCTTCTAGATCTGGAAGCTGTGGAGAGAACCTATGAGTTTAACGTAAGCAATATTCTATAAACTTCACAAAACAGAAATTCACGGTCTTGGGTTCGTAAATAGGTTTCATTATGCCGAATATTTTCAAATAAATCTTTTGCGCTTTTGAGTTATTGCCGCTCTCTGAGTTAATGGGTTATAACTCATCGATGAATGAGTCATAACTCATTTATTAAAGCGGATTAAAGCTTTACGAAACCCTAGACTGGGGTTTTAACATTCTGAGTATCGTTTTTCCAGCAACGGAACTGAGTTACTGAGTACCAAGCCATTTGCGCAGCACTGCTCCAACACGTAAAAATTCACTGAGTACCTTTTCTGTCACGACGATTGCTTAAAAATTTCTGTTCTTTGGTCTAAAACGAGAAAAACCGGAAATGTTGAAGAAATTTTAAAATTCTTCAAAGCAATGAGGTTTTAAATGATGCCTTTGCTTTCCCTGATCGTTTTTTTTGGAAAACTATTTTTGGAGAACTTTGTTTGAATTTTGACTCAAATTCAAAGGTAAAACGGGTCTTCGAAAGGCACCAAATGAAGGAAAAGAAGACCAAACTATAAATACGCCCAGTTTTTGGTTTAAAGACCCTCAGTTTGCCGCAGTTTCGAAAGAGTTTTGTTTAGAAATATTGACCTAAAAGTGAAGAAAGCGGAATTTAAAATAACTAAATTATTCACAGCGACGAAGTTGGCGAATTTTCCAAATAATTGATTATGAACTTTCGTTTGTTCTTTCTGGAAAAATATTTTTGTGAAAAAACCCAGAAAAATATTTGGGTTTTGTCCAAAATTCCAAGCTACAAAGGTTTTAAAAAAATCTTTACAACGCGGTTAAAGAGGGGAGTGTTCCAATAGAATGTAATTTATATTTTTTTACAGAAAATACCTGAATATTGTCAGTGTTTGAGTGTTGAGCAAGAAAAACTTTGCTAAAACTGGAAAGACCTGAAATTTTAAATAAACTTGAAAATTCTTAAGAGCGATGAGGGTAGTGAATTTTGTAAACTTTTGCTCTCTAGTTGTTTCTTCAAGATAATCTTAATTATTTTGGGAAAAAAGTTAATTCAATTATTTAGTTTTGTGCCAAATTCGAAGCTCAAAAAGCCCTTCTAAAATCTCCTGCAAAGCGATGCATGAGGCCAACAAAATTAATTGTGGCGTTTTTGGCTGAAAGAAAGACCTCATGATTGTCGAAAAAGAAGTCAAGCATCAGAAAATAATAGATTTTTTTGCGCTTTCAAATAAAAACTTTTCGTTTTGTGATCGGTTTTTCAGAAAACCTTAATCATTTTCCGGAAAAAATTGGAAAACTTATTTTAGTTTTTATCCCGATGTTTTTTGTTCGACGCTGAAAAACGTTTTGGTAAAATTTCTTCAGCTATAAATTTATCCTGTAATTTTTCGCCTAAAATACCTCCAGATTGTCAGTTTTTTAAGTGAAACTCTATAAAATAGATCGTGTTTGAGTATAAAATAAAGCAAAAAAAAATTCGATCAAAACTAAAAATCCACAGTTTTTTAACCAACTCGACAGTCTTCAGAGGTATGAGGGTGAGTTTTTATAAACTTTCTGTTATATTATGTATGTTATATGCGTTTTTGAGTATATTCTGTTCGCTTTTTAACAAAAAATTAGTTGATTTTTCTCCTATATTTGAAGCTGGAAAAGGATTTCCCTACTTTTAACGAAACGATGAAGGAGGCGAACGTTGTAATAAAATTTATTTTAAAATTTTTTGAGGAAAATATCCTTAGATTGTCAGTATTTTTACGTAAAACATTAGAAAAATGAGCGATTAGAAGAAACAGTAACTTTGCTAATACTGGAAAATTCTGAAATTTTGACGAAACTAAAAACATTCTTAATAAATAGCCCTTAAAATAAATCGAAAAACAAGTTAAGTATTTTTTTCCAGCAACGGAACTGCGCCGGTGCGTTGGGTTGGCGCACAAAGCCACTTGCGCAGCACTGCGCCAACTCCAAAAATTCACTGAGTTACCCAAGCCTATCTTATGCAATAAGATTAAATTCCGTTAATGAATGAATGAATTAATTGTCTACAAAAGAGTGACTTTTTGGACATATTAAACTAGACACTGTGGAATTCTGCAAATTTAATGTAAATGTGAAAATTCCAGGCTGGTTTGTATGCCAACGCTGTCTTTAAAGGCAATTGGCCCCAGGTGGTCATTGATAGAGTTGCCAACAGAAGTAGACTAGAAGGTTACTCCTTCTCTAGATTACCGGAATTCACTCAGGAAGAAATCGACTATATCAACGGAACTTATGACTTTTTTGCTTTGAATATGTAAGACTCCACTACTCTGGATAGTTTAGCATAAATATTTTGATCTAATATTTGTAGATACACTAGTGCTTTTGCTGAATATGCTGATGACTCGCCCATCACCACTCCATCCATCTGGCTGGATCAAGGTATTTGAAATAGGCCAGTTTTCAAATTCGATTTCGTTAAAAGCTATTAAAATGTAAAATTTATTTTTTAGGAACCATAACTTCTGGAGATCCTTCATGGCCCACAAGTGCCTCTTCTTGGTTAACTTCTGACCCGCCGGGAGTCAGATATCTACTCAACTATCTCAACAAGAAGTATAATCCTGGGGAGTTTATAATCACTGAAAATGGATGGTCTACGCTTCCAGGAGAATTGGACGATCAATCCAGAATCGAATATCTCAGCGTAAGTTAAGTGGGAATTTGTTTCAAAATTATAGACTTGGTCATTCAGGGCTATTTGAGCAACATCCTAGATGCCATCCTGGATGATAGAATTAACGTAACCGGATACACACTGTGGAGTTTGTTAGATAACTTCGAATGGGCCGAAGGATACACGTAATAAAAAAATTGCAAAGTTTCCTTATATCGGTTTCATTATATAATAATTTTCAGGCAACGATTTGGAATTGTCCAAGTAGATTTTGAAAGTCCCGAGAGAACCAGAACATACAAGGCGTCAGCCGAATGGTACAAGCGCGTGGTTGCGGCCAGAGCCATTGTTGACTAAATAATAAAGTTAATTAACTATTAAATACTTTCCATGTAAACAATATTTTTATTTTCTTATCGTCTGGACTAATGTCTTCATGACCCAACATTTGCATTCCAACTTTTATTCCATAACTGCTTGCATTTTACACGAACATTACCTACATCAGTTGCTATTTATGTCTGATTGATCATTAAATCAGAAAAATGTTCAATTTCATAAGATTTGAAATCGCCGGGTTGAACTGCGAAGATAAAAACGCAGTTTCTCTTTACAAAGAAACACTACATTTACTCACTTCTCATCCAGCTGCTTTTCTATTTCGAAGTTTTTGTTTTTTCTAGCAGATGATTGTTCTATCTAGTCATTCCTGAAATTTTAATTAATATTTTAAGTAATAATTGATCAATGCTTTTTATTTCTTCTCAACTATTCGAAATTTATTTTCTGATCCACGAAGACGACTTTGGTTTTTAGTTCCCTAATATTTAATGCATATGAAGCGACTTTAACGCAATCAAATCTGAGCAGGACCAACTTCCATATCTGTAGCCAAAATTACAATTGAAAAAACACTCGAAAAATTTCGACGATTGATAAAATATCATGATTACATTTTGCATTCACATTATTCATTTAGTAAGCATCGAGTGGTAGTTGCGCATGAAAATGAGTGCCCCCATTGTAATCTGCCTCATCTTTATTCTAAACGGGTAAGTTACTTGGTCTAAATCTACTGTGCCTTTGCCTGATGTGCAATCTTAGTTTACGGCTTATTGTGGAGAAAACAATTTTAATACGAGTACATTGTGTTTTATAGGGCAATCGCGCAAAGAGAGTTTCCAGGAAACTTCAAGTTTGGAACAGCTGGTGCTTCCTACCAGATCGAAGGCGGATATAATGAAGATGGTCGGGGACCCAGCATGTGGGACACTTTCTCTCATATCCCAGGTAATGCTGAATGACAAAATAAGTAAACTACGTGTGTTATTAATATTTTTGGTTTGTTTATTCGTCCCTGCTTTTTTTACGCGAGCGCTCCTTAAGACTAGCTGTAGTATTTCTATCTTTATAGGAAATATAAAGAACGACTCCAACGGAGACATTGCCTCTGACTCTTATCACAAGTACAAGGAGGATGTGGCTATTTTGAAAAACCTGGGTGTGCAATTCTATCGATTTTCAGTTTCTTGGTCGAGAATATTTACCAATGGTACTCCAAATACATACAATCAAGCAGGAGTTGATTATTACCTCA